CCCCAAAACCCCAAAACCCCAAAACCCCAAAACCCCACAAAGATTACAACTTATAGAATTTTATTACTACAAGGTAAGCAAAGAGATTTGGGTTAAGAATGCAGGCATCAGGGCTAATTAAGGTAGTTTTTATAGATGAAAGCGTATAAGGAGAAGACTAATAACCCTTTTTGTAATTACTATGGACCGCCTTTGGCAACTCCAGGAAAAGAGCCAAATCCATATGAACATTTTTATTTAAATTCAGTTTTTCATATTCTTATGAACCTTGAAGGTCAAGATTTTGAGGGAACTTCTCTTAGGGAGAAAATACTCAACCTGTGTAAGTATTGATTTGAGGTGGATTTTATTAAAGGTTTGGGTGTATTGATAATTTGGGATTTTTATACCTTAAATAGTCCTTGAAGCAAAGGCTTTGGATTATGAAGTTGATGCTCCGACAGAGGCAATCGGGGATGTCTTCATCGAATTTCAGAAGAAATGAGATGAATTTGAGGAAGAAAATGACTTAGATCTGCTATTTATACCAACACTTCCTACGAAGCAAGTTCTCATGAGAATAGAAGGTACTATTTAGGGTTTTACTATGTATAGAGACTGGATTATTTGAAAATGACGAAACCATGTTTTTCGGTAGTCCTAAGACCAAATCTTGCATGCTTGAGACTATCATAGCGACTATCAGGAATCTTGAGGTTACTCAAAAGGGAGAATTCACTTCGGATCTAGTCGAACACCATCAGGGCTTCTTAGATTCATATTTCAAAGGAAAGATTTCCAAGAGCTTCGAAGAGTATTCCAGTAATATATTTCATTAACATTAGGTTCTTATAGCCTTCAAATAAAGATGTCAGAGCTAATGGATACTATAAGAGACACTGAAGGGAACACTAAAATACTACAGTCCTTCGTTTCCTATAGCGCAGGAATTAACCCAAAGTCTGCAATATACAAATCTCTCACCCAAAGATATCTGATAGTAAAACTTGATTTTGATGGGGAAGAATTATCGGAAGAAGACATCGAATTCCTATGGGAATCTGTAGACTATGATTTCAACACAAATTTACTGACATCCCCTTGAAGTGAAGAACATAAGCAAATAGACTCAAATGCCCTTTTAGTAGCTACAATCGACAGGCTTAATAAAGACACTAGTACCAATAACAGTGAAACAAATATTCTGATCGATTCTAAATGGAGGAACTTCAAGCATATGATTTATAAGTCAAATACTTTCTTTGATATAATCGAAGACTGTAGATTATCGAAAAGACTCCCTCTAATTTTAATATATCAACTGCAAGATAATGTACACAAGCAGAGAAAATCTGAGTTCAAAAGAAATAAGACCAGAAGATCAAAGAAATCTATTGTCACGAAAAAAGAAGAGAAGAAAGAAGATAAGAAAGAAGATACTGAGCCTAGTAAGAATTTGTATAGCACAGAGGAAAACACTGAAGCCGCTCGAGGTTACAAAAATTCGGTACTAAAGCAAACTCCAATCAAGAGAAGCCAACACCCTAAAGGAAATGACGACCTTGATCCCAAAGGTTGAAAAAATTGCATAATCTTCTAAAATCCCTAAAACCACCCCAACAAAAATTCTCTCATTACAAAATCTTCATAAAAACCCACTTTCACCCATATTCCCTTAATAATTTCCACCTATAAATTTCCAAACGGGGTTTTGGGGTTTTGGGGTTTTGGGGTTTTGGGGTTTTGGGG